GGATGCTGCTAATTTCAGTTTGTTCTTTGATTACTCAACATTAGTAAGCTCTACCAGATATTAAGAGTCACCAGCTAACTGAAATAAACCTGGCTCTGTCCCCAGCCAAAATGTTTGTAGCCCGAGAAGTTTGTCCTCATACTCCAGTAATGTGCCACATTTTGTACTTAGGCTTTTAAAACAAAATGACATATAGCCTTAGAAAGTATGTGAGAGTTCACAGAGAATGCTAATGACCCAGAGCTATGATTTTTGTTAATAATTAACTAAATACTGTATCGCGCTCTTAGCATTGTGCTCGACACTGCTCAAATAAAGTGCTTTCCCTTTAAGAAGCTTATAATCTAAAACATACAAATAACCACATGTAGAAAAAAGCTAGAGATCAGAGTAAAAGGAAGCATTCACAAAAATGTACAAATTCAGCATGCCAGAACTTTTCAGTTGAGCAACACGATCCCCAGTGAAATTCTTTCCAAATGATGTATCGTGTGCACAAGTTATAAGTGATTATCTTCAATTTTCTTAGAAATGAGTAATAAGATACCTCTTAAGACCCATGCTTTGGTAAATGCATCAAACACTAATGTTGACGTGATCACTGATAGCTGCCATTTAAGGAAAAAACATATTTTCTGTCTTGTCTCATACCAGACAAATCCAGGACACTCTTCTCCCAGGTTGGTAATAAGCAGCCTTTTACTAGGCTACACTGAAGAGCAAACATTGCAACTCTAAAGATGGAAGTAGCAGAATGCTCAAAAAATATTGCATCAAAATATTGGATACAACCTACCAGCCCATGCGAAAAAAAAAAAAAACACATTGCAAAACTGACACCATCTGTGTCATCTAGCATCCATCAAAACCTTCTTCTGTGTGCATTTCCTAATGCTGCCAAAATGGAATTTACTCCAAGAATTAAGAAAACTCTTTTTAAGATGGCGGCCCTATTAAGAGACTTCTATCTCCCACTTCATCTCCTCAGTTCTTTTCCCTTGCCCAGGCTGCCTATTGTGACCATTCCAGCCAATTTCCTGGAGGTATTTTCTAGCCCTTTTCACCCTATTTAATCCTACAAGTTTCCTGGGAAGCCTGTTTACTTGTGTGCTTCCCCACTGGACAACGAGCTCCTTGACAAAAGGGACTGTGTCTCACTCCTCTCTGCACCCCCAGCACCTAACACAGAGCCTGCCAAGGTGCCCCACCAATCATCCACCATCTCCTCCATAGGCTTGATGGTTCTCTCTAAGCACATCCTGGTCCCAGTACCAGGATTAGCGTAATAAATATCTGCAGACCACATTTGAAAGAATTCTTTAATCTGTTCCAAGTTAGCACACAGCAATATAACTTTCTGAGTTTTCACAAATCACCTGCTCACCCAAATGTCTGGTGCAATCTCAGAGAAGAAATCCTCCCACACCTCACTTCTTATCCTCTCTCCTGACATTAGGACCGCTAACTGCTTCCAACTAATTGGGGAGCCACAGCTGGCAACCCAGATATGGCTGCTTAGTTCTTACACTCAAAAAAATACCAAACTCTCTCTTTGTTTCAAGCATTTTTTTAATGTTGTTTCATCTATTTCAAGAAATTCCAAGTCAATTTTGGCTCCCACAGGTTGCCTTTTACCCATAGGGCCACTTGGCCTTCTGGATTGGTTCTCGAACTTTCCAAGGACCTCCAAAGTAAAATCCCTCAATCTTTAGGGAGTTGCAACACCACCATGGGTTGCTTGATTTTCTCATTCCCATCCATCCCCCACCCCCCCACACACACACACAAAAGTGGTGTATGGCATTCATAAAGTGAATTACACTTGATTTTTGTTTAGAGGAATTTTTTTTTCAGACTTCTGTAACATTCCCCTGAGACAATTGGAAACATCATTGTCTGATTACTAGCTGACTTCCCTTGCCTAAAATTGTATCCATTCTTGATTGCGCCTGTGGGTAGGTTAAGCAAAACAAAACAAACATCTAGACTTATGAGCTCATTGGCTTTTTTCTGAATTTTTCTAAATTAAATAAGGGCAAAAGAGCTGTACTGAAAGTCAGTTATATGGATTTTTCTGCCAAATGCTAACTCTGTGCGCCTGGTTTCCATCTGTGTTGCTTTCCAAGTTACAAATCCTTGAGAGAGAGAGAGAGAGAGAATGGGAGACAGAATGGGGGAGAGAGAGAGAGAGACAGAGGGAGAGAGGTATGAAGAGATCTATGGATTTTGAAGACATGCTATATTGCTATCCTGGGCCTTTGAATACTCTAAAAGCAATGAGAACATGAGATCGTAAGCTTTAGATCAGCTTTGTGGAAGTCTAGGCTAGTCCTTCAGCACCGGTGATTTATTTTTTAGGCTGGCTGATTTCAAATGCCCTTTAATCTCATCCATATTTTAACCCAATTCTGCTAATGGCCCAAGTTAGCCGTCAATCCCAAATGCTCCCCCAAGTGAAACAAGACATTTTTGAGGATTTCTCCTTACTGTGACCGAATCTCATTTTATCTGGGACAAAGAAAGCTTTAATGCAGTTAATACAGTGCAGCAGGCACACTGAACATGGCTTGAAATATAGATGGGGAAAAAAAAGTTAAGCGGTCATCATGATGGTTCATGACTATCAAATAATTTGCAGCTCTCTTCCAATTTGCAACCACTGAACGACAGCAGCAAATTACACATTTATTCAGTTTGAAATTATGCACTTGCCATTGTATTTGGTCTACCATTATCATCTCTTCTCTGAAATACTGATAAGCTCTTTCCACACATGGACATAAGGATTTTTCACCATGTTTTCTGTATCTACAGTGACTGTATTTGCCCAACTAAAATTCAGGACACATGGTTTCATGCCAGGCCAGAGTATTTGAAATCGAGGATGCATCGCCATATTTGAATTTTGGCCTTGCTCCAATGCAAGTGAGGACAGCGCCTGCCAGGTAGAAGGTGCTGGCCACCATTTATTTTGTTAAAGCGAACTGAAGTGGGTTCTGTTGTGTTTATACAGTGAAAACCCTGGAAAAAGTGATTTCTCCTAGAGTTTATAAAAATGAAAAGTCTCTATTACAAATAAAGTCTAGAAGCAGGAGAGTAAGGGAAGGAGGAAGCCAGTCCAGGCCAACACTCATACACGCAGTGTGTGGGCCCTCCCAATAGTTTTATACAGATGCTGCAAAGAGGCAGGCAGCCAGAGAGCTGGGGGAGGGTGAGGAAGGGAGCGCCTGCACGAGTGTGTGTGTAGAGGGGGGTTGCTGAATGGGTATCCTGGCTTTCCTCTGGTCTTTTTCTTCTTTTAAGCACCACCTTCACTCCCTGGCTTGGAAACTGCCAAATGTGGCCCGAAACCCAACCTTGGACCTATTCATCTTGTGGGGGCTCAGCCTGTAAGGACCAATTTTTACATTATCAACAAAAGCATGTTCTCTAGTCTTAGCAATCTAATTACCATGGCACTTCCAGGGGAGAGAGATTCGCCTGTTGTTTCAGCTCGGTGGAACTGATTCATAGGTTGCCCCTTACAGCTCCTGCACACGCCCACGTGGTATGTTATTAACACTTAACAGTAGAAGAGGTAATTCTACCCTCCCTTACAGCGATATCCTGCAAAGCAATATTTAACATATGCGCAAATGCAGTTCAGTCACCAAAAAGGGTGACCAATTACCTTTGCAACTAAACAGCAGGCTCGCTCGGCTCTTTTCATCAACCTAAAGAAAAGGCTGAGGGCGCGCTGGCTGCCTAGGTAACCTCCTGCCAGTGAACGCTTGCTGGCAGCGCCCACAGGGCGCGCATCCGCATTCACAGCTTGGTCCAACCATCAGGCCCGCCTCCCTGACTTGTTGGGAGCCACCGGCCAAGTTTGGGCGAGGGTTGCTCTCCAGCTCTCTCCCAAGCGCGGGATCCGCGCCTTGCTGGATGCACGAGTCGGAAAGAGACCCTGGAGGCCACAAGCGTCTTATGGTTGGCGAATACGACCGGCCGTTTCTTCTGAGCGCACCTCTGAGAAATTAACCTTTTTGAAATCTACTCTTTTCTTGCTCACGTTGTCACTGTAGCAACTTGTCCTAATTGGATAGTAAGGCAGGCGTTAGAAGCCCAACCGCTGGACAGTCACTCACAGAAGGCCATTAATATTCATCTGTTGACAGTGGCAGCCCTCAGCTAAGGTTAAAATATGCCCTTACAGCAGATCTGATTGTGCAGAACAAAAGGCAGGCGTTGAGAAACTTTCCTCCGCCTAAAATCGTCTCCCCTTCGGGGTTCAGCCTGTCAAGAGGGCAGATAAATTTGGGAGGGGGAGGAGTTAGGTCATCTTTGGAGTCCTGCTCCGCGGGCCAGGACCACCGTCTTTAAAGAGATTTTTGCCAACCTAGATAAGGGACGCTGTTTGCAAGGAAAAGGCTCAGTCCTTCCTATTTTGGGGACCCTCCTATTCAAAAGTTTCCCTCGGTGTTTCTTCACCCACCGCTGCGGACTCGGAGATCTGTCCTCAACTTTGCCTGCACTTGGGCTCGCCAGCCTCGGGAACCCAGGCTAAGGAAAGAAGGGCGGGGGGACACGTTGGGGAAACGATAGCCAGTGCTGCGGTCCAGCTACGCCTGAAATTCTGACACGTACATGTGAGCAAGGGTGATAAATTTCTGACGCGCCTGCTCGATTGTGGGACGCCAGTTCGCCTGGACGCGAGGAACCAGCTCCCACCTTCCCGCCCTCCCCAAAAATGGGCGCTCGCGAGAAGGCGACCTCCGCCGTTCATCCTACTCGCGCATTCCCTGACAGCAGCGCGAGCCCGGGGCGTGTGGACTCGGTGCACACATTCCCTCCACTTCCCTCCCTCAGTAGACCCAGCCAGGCCCCAGGCACACCGACCATTCCCACAAACCCCGCAGCAGGGCACTACCGCGGCCCCTCGGGGCCAGTGCGCTCGGCATACGGCCACGGCGCGCGCCTCGTGGCCGCTGGGCGCGGGGAACGAGCAAGGGACCCTTACTCACCTGGCACAGGGGTTTCAGGAACCCATTTGAGTCCGGGCTGCAGTCTCTGGAAGAAGGAGCGGACCTGGTGACAGGTGGCGTCCGGAGGCGGCGGTGGCTGCGCCTGTCCCAGGCAGTCCAAGCTGAGCAGCATCGCCACTACCAAGCACGCGGTGCGCACGGTCCCGGCCATCCTGCTTCGTGGGGGGCTAGGAGAGCGCGGGAGAGTGGCAATAGGAGCGAGAGCAGTCCCAGGACTCGGCAAGCCTGGCAGTGGCCCTGAGGAGCGAGAGCCGTGCCGCCACCCAGCAGCTGCAAAAGTTTCCTCGCAGCTACCTGGGCGCTGAGCGAGGGCGGGAACCGCTCAGCGGCGCAGGGCGGGGCGGGGCCGAGCGGGGTGGGCGGGGCGAGGAGGGACAGGGCGGGGCTAGGCGAGGCCGCACGGCTGGGGGGCGGCGGCGGCGGTCGCACGGCCTCTAGCCGGTGGGGTGCGGGCTGCGGCGTGGAGCGCGGTGGGGGCGACTGGGGCAGCACGGCGTGGGAACCTGGCGGGACCCGCGCGAGAGGAGGGTGCGGAGCCGGTGCGATGGCTCCCAGCAGCCCAGTCCTGCTGCCCGCTCGCGGCCGCTCTACACTGGGCGCTCTGGCATAACTACTGCAGAGGGGCTGCGGGCTCGGGCGCTCTGATTGGCTTCCCAGCAGCCGTCCCCTCTGACTGGCTCTGGGAGAAGTTCCCCAGCCTCACTCCTCCTTCCTGCCGCTCATTGGCCTATAGCCGGGAAGGCTTTTCCCTTTAGGAATTTTGCAACCTCTCCATCCTTCCTTGGAGTGGGTGGGGGTCCCCGGCTTAGGTGCCCCTCTGCTTAACTACTAGGCCTTCTTCCAGCCAGATCCGACTCATCTCTGGTCATCAGAGCCACATAAGGTCCCCCTTCGCACAAAATCCACCTCCTCCTTCAGCTTTCTGAGAGGCTTCCCGTGAACCGTTTTCCCAAGGCAGCTCTGGCCGAGTCCTCAAAGCCAACCCACAAATAGTCACTTTCAGGAGCAGCTGAGGACCGCTGGGATTTTCACAGCCTGCCTCATCTTTGAATACTGTACCTAAAAAGTCCGGAAGCTCCTGGGCTTACTAGGTTTGATTCAACAGAACCACACAAAGTCAGAGGAAGCACTTGAATCCTGGATGTTAAAAGCATCATCCCCTGCTGGATAATCCTGGTGACCCCTCATGAATCGAAGCATAACTAGTGACAATGAAATAACCTGGGGCTTAAAGCCAGCCTAACTCATTAGAAAGTCATTTTACAGAATAAATTCATTAAGCCAGAGATAGCCTGTTTCCTAGCTGGAGTAGAAGGCTGTCCTAAAGCTCTCCTGGCCCCCAATCCCCATCTCTCCTGTTTAAATTTCACTATTAGAAATCCAGTTCTTTGAGAGTCAAATACCTCTTGTGAGGAATGCATGGATCATTACCTGTGTGGATTCTCTTTGGGACTCCACATGCGCATGCGCACAGACACACCTATGTCTTACGCATAGTAGGAACTCACTAAGTATTTCTATGATGAAATGACTTAACACCTAAGTGTGAATTAGTTTAACATTTGATTGTGTTGTTTCCAACCTGGTGAAAGTAGGTTTGGAGAGGTAGAAACGAGGGTGTGCTGGGAAGGTGGGGGGAGGTTGTGCACCAGGATTTTTTGGGCTGGTAAGAAGCAAACGAAGTTGAAGGTCACTAAAGGGTTGGATCACTCATGTATTCATTTGTTCATTCAATAACAACTATTTGAACTCCTACTATGTGCCAGACATTGTAGAATACAAACAGAAAACTGGGACACAAAGATTTGCCTGGAGTCCCTTACCTCAAAGACCTACAAGTTTGATGAGAAGGACAACCAAACAAAATGTTAACGCACGGTGTGTTAAGTGCTGTTGAGTTCTAAGGGGTGAGAGGTGGATCAGAGAAAGCCTTCCAGAAGAAATGATGCCCTAAACTCAGACTTGAAAGACCAGTAGGAGTGGAAGTGAGAAAAGATTGGGGGAAGGGTGGCTAGGCAAAGGAAGCAGCCTGAACAAAGAGGAGAGGGCCTGGAGTGGCCCATTTGGAGGGTGAGAGGTGCGAATCATGATTTCAGGCTGAGTAGCTAAAAGAACTAAGGTGGGTGAAACAAGCAAGAGCCAGATATGAAGAGTCTGGAAGCCATGCAAAGGAGCCTGGGGAACCACTTAAGGAAATTTGAAGCAGTAGGGTGATATGATCATATTTGACTCATTAAAAGATCTCTCCAACAGTATTGTGGGGAGTGGTTTGGAGAAGAAGGAACAAAGGTGGGAAACAAGGAGACCAGTTAAGAGGCTGTGAAAATAATCCAGGCAAGAAATGATAAAGGCCTGAGGCGGAGGAGATTTGGAAGAGGAAAAATGTTCCAGAGATATTTAGAAGATAGAATTAAAAGTGTATGGTGACCTAGTGTATATGGGGGCTGGGAGAGAACGAGTCAAGGGCGCAGGGCTCAATTCACTCTTTTTTTCAACAAACATTTGAGGGCCGCCTATGTATCTGGCATTCTTCTCCTACTTCATAATTTTGCCCGAGGCTAGGCCTGCGCCTGCATTGAACATTTGACAAATGACATATCCACTTTAAAAGAAACACCAATTAAGAGTCATAATTTGGCTAGTGAGTTTGATATGTTCCACCTGTGGAGCCCTGTGACCAAAGGGCAGATTGGAAGGCAAGCATTGATTGAATTTCATGACCTCGCAGAGGAAGACATGACCTTCCATAAATTCATGATCTTCCAGGGCTCCTGCAACTAACTACAAAGGCAACAGTTGTTTTCAACTACTGGGTATAGAGTACCTGGAAAGGGGGACTGTAACTCCTTTTTATATATGTTTTTATATCTAATACACTTTGAATGAACTAGAGCAGTGTTTTCAAAGAGAACTGTGTGAAGCTCTGGATTGAAAGAAGTGGGCCAATGAAGTTTTTAATTTTTAAATATATATTTACTTTTAGTGGTGAATTAGACCATATATACATAAAATATATATATATATAACTAGTGCATTCTATCTACAATTTTGTTAAGACAAAGCTAAGTAGATAGTGTTGAAAAATATTTTTTTAAGTATTGAGAGTATGAACATACAGTAAAAAGTGTGGAATGGTGTGTGAATAGCTAGGGTTTGGTCTAAGTCATAAGCAAACTGGCCTTAGGGTTTGGGGAATTATTTCTTCGGCCTGGAAGCTTCTGTTCCCACTTCAAGCAGCCACTTCAGAGCTTTTAGCCAACCTAAGGTAAGAGTTAGCAAAACTTGCTACACTGAAGGAAGCAGTGGTTCCATTTTTAAAAGTGCCTCTCAAAGATTTTTAACTTTCCAACCCTCAAGGGGTGATTTTCACAACGGAATTTCAGGCACTGAAACGGGCATTGTGGGATAGGCTTTTTGTGCAGAAACGTGATGGGCGGCTGTAGTTTCTGCTTGTTCAGTGATGAAAAATTTCAAAGATGAAAATCCTTAACCAGGGACTGGCGGTGTGGTTCAGTGGTAGAACACTTGCCTAGCATGCACCAGACCCTGAGCAAAAGGAAGGGAGGGAGGGAGGCAGGGGAGAGAGAGAGAGAGAGAGAGAGAGAGAAAGAAAGTCCTTAACCAAAAGTATAATATCTGTTACACTATACATTACATATTGCTCAGATGGGTAACTGTGACTTACGACTGGGTTTTTTAGGTGGCCCGATGGCATGTGCCTATGGTCCAAGCCACTTGGGAGGCTGAGGTAAGAGGATAGATTGAGTCCAGCAGTTCTGGACCAGCCTGGGCCACATAGCAAGACCCCATGTCAAAACCAAACAACCACAAAAGGGCTGGGTTTCCATTTTCTGCCTTAGCTCTCTCTCAGGGCTCCCTCCTCAGGGTGGGAGTCAGGCCAATGACTCATAGATACTCTTCAGCAAGGAGAGACAAAGAGAAACAGTCTGGAAATTCAAAAGGATGTGCTGATTTAGACAATGTCCACTTTTGACAATCCATGGCTCAGTGCTTTCAGGCCCAGTTGGAAGAATTTAGATTACACAGTCGGACCCCGTTGTCCTCTTTGGAACCCAGGGGAAAGCTATCTAGCACAGCAGGCCCAGAAGAACTTTTCTTCACCTTTCACTCCTAGTCTCCAGTTTGAAAGAATTCGAGAATTCCCAGCTGTAGCCAGCAGCTATTATCTTGCTGTAGCTGGGAGGAGAGTCTGGTTCCATGGCTCCAAAAGCAGCATAAATCAAGTTTTCTGGGAGAGGATTAAGAAAGGGTGTCCCACAGCTGCTGTCATGGGAGAAGAGCATGCACACATTGTTTGTCTTGGGCCCAGGTCCCTCTGCCTGCCCCCCCCCAGGTGATGTTCTCCTCTTCCTGTCACCCTCAGGTACACAGTATCTTCTGCTCTTAACCCCACTCTTAAAACCTGCTTTCAGGGAAGAAACTTTAAAACTCATCTGCTCAAGGTGTGTATGCTTGATAGGACATATTAGGACTGCCCACCTAGGGGTACGAGTGAGTATCTTAACTGGGATCAAAGCTTTAAACCAAAGGAACAGACCTCTAAAAACTGTGGAATTCCAGGCATCTGCCAGTGGGAAGGGAGTGTTTAAACTGAGGGGCAATGAGGCCTTTTTTGGTGCACCTGAAATCACATCATGTAGACAGTTGCTTATATGTTAGGGCTGTGCTGCTCACAGTCAACACCTCCCGAACCACACCTCTGTGCTCAATGGCACACAGCCACTTTGTCTCCTCTTCGCTTGCAGTGTATGACTCCTTTGTGGGGCAGAGAGGAGGGGAGGCGCCAGGCACACGGATCCCAATTCTCCCAAACGTATAAGCTATGATCAGAGAATGAGTTATGGTCCTTTGGGAAAGAGTGTTCATTCATTCATCCCAGCCAGCAAGCCAGTGTAATGTAAATGGTAACTTTGTGAGTTGAAAGACTTAAAGCCATTTTGAAAATTGCATAATAATCCCAGGCAGAATTTGGCCCCGTGTGTATGGAAAATTAATAGATGTGGCTGAGATGTTTGTATTGTGAGTTGTGGATGGATAAACTTTCCTCAGAACAGAGGCTATGCTTTGCCCTCATTAAATCCACAAAATATACGGAGGTTCTTGTAAGTCAGAGCTTGAAAAAAAAACTATTGAAATTTTTATTTGTGGTATCACGTTGATTACTACAAATAAAAAAGTTATTCTCTTCTATCTTGGTTTGTATAAGGGAATATTGATCTAGATTTCTAACATATTTCTTCATACGCTTAGTCTATTGATTTTTTTTGATTGGGCAGATATACTGTATGTATATGTAACATTTTGTGTCTTCTGCATAGGATATTTGGTTATCTATAAAAATTTAAGTGATTTGGAGCTTGCTGACTGAGAGTATGGTGGCTTGAAATTCAAATGCCAATGATGCCCAAGGCATGGCTTTACACATATTTTGCCACATGGCAATTCACACATATTTTATTTTGCTTTGAATTATTGTGGAACAAAAGCACAGTGATTCAGGTAATCTATATTTATTTTGATGTATGGTATGTAATTTCACCAAGAAAAGTTTTACTAATCTATAAGTAATTTAAGTCTTTTTCTGGGTCTTTATGCTCTGGAGCTTGGGTCTCCAATAAGCCAATTGGTATTTAGAAGTTGACTTCTTAATGAGTTTGCTTCCAGCAAAGTCCTTTCTTATTCCCTACAACATAAGAAGAAACACCAACAGCCACTACCGCAGATAGCAACAAATACTTTTGATAATCTCTGCCATCCCACCTCCCGAGTCCATCCACATGGAGGAATTTCAAAAGTAGCTTATCATAAGAAAAAGCCACTCCCAGCACTACCCCTAATTCTAGTTACTTTTATGTCTCCACCATAACTCGGGAGCTTTAGATGAACAAGTGTTCATATTGTTCTTCTGTGTTTCCTCTAACATAGGGCTTCCCAAATTGTCATCCATGTACTTGTGCTGATCCACACACTATCTTCTACCAGTCTGTGACATAGTGAAGTACAAAAATTGAGAGTAAGCTGTGAGAAACTTTTCTAGCATGTTGAAACTGCTGCCACTTATAACAACCATGTAACAAGTTGGCCTCACTGCTGAATCTAAAAACTGTTTAAAATGGCCTTATATTTTGTACTTCTTTTTCAGTTTTTCTGGTAATTCGTTTTATCGTATTGCCCAAAGTTATGCACCCATATCAGTTAGAAAGATAAAAATAATATAAAGCAAATCCTTCAATAAAGATAGTTCAGAAAGCTAGTACATTGCCTTGGTATGTTGCACACTACTTTGGTCCATGGTAGTCATTTAGCAAATGTTTTTCACTGAAGCCCTGTGCTGTTTTTCTTTACAAAAATAAATTGCGACATCCCTTTTTATGGATAGTTCCTGTTAAAATCACAGCAATATAAACTTTCCAATAATAGGTAAGCCTACTTGAAGATAAATTTC